CACACACACACACACACACACACACACACACATACCCCTCTCCTTATCTCCTTCTCTCTATGTTTCTGTCCTCCTTTTTCATTCTTTTTCGTTTTTCTTTTCTTTCTTCTATTCTCTCGTGTGAATTGTTCTTTCATCCAGAACCCTGCTTAGTGGCACGTAGCCACGGACAGTAGATGCACAGTCCGACATCGTGTTCCTTGTTCTTTACAGCTGGCGGTGATTTGTCAACATTGAGGTTACTTTGAACACTTGGCGGCAGTGACTTAGAAAAAAACAAGTGAAGTTGTTCTTTGTCCTCCTGCGTGCATTGCACAAACCACTGGAAAAATTTCGATTGCATCGACATTCGAAAACTTTCCTCAGCAACTAGACACCCAGAAAGCGAGTAATCAACTCCACTGGCACCAATTAACAAAAACTGCGAAGGACTTGTACAACAAACAAAACACGCGTGACTGCTCTTGAATGCCGAATCATGTGTGATTATGACAACATAATACATATCATAATCAGGCTGCATCAACAAACTTTGAGTCAACTACCACCTTTCTATTTTATTCTATGCTAAAGCTGCATTAGCAAGTTTTGAATCAACTACCACCTTTCTATTCTATTTTATTCTATTAATTTTCTATACTAAAGCGAGAACACCTGATGCTTGGAACTTTAACCTTCACTTCCAACAAACTAAAAATCAGCTGCATTCTTTCCATGAGCCCCGATCAACAGTACGGCTTTCTTGTCAGGAGGTGAACTTTCACAATATTGAGGTTACAAAAGTGGAGCCTTTACACCAGCCAAGTTATGGTAAATTTGAAAACACAGCAGTCGCTGAAGAGCCATGAGCTTCCCACGGTGATTAACAAACATATTGCAATGCAACTTTTGCATTACTGTCATGGACAAATTACCACAGCAGTCCTATTATTGTTGTTCACTATCCATCTGTGAGCTCTGATGATAGTCATGGGGGAATACTCTTCATAAAGTTAATGCCTTGGAGAGGTTCTTGTGCGATAGCTATGGTGAGCCCCCCCAAGACACAAATTTTGTCGATGGTAAATTAGCTCTATGACAATGGTTAAAATCTAGCACCTTGGAATATTGTATTCACAACATCAAAGCAGATCAGTCACAGGCTTGGATTGCAGCTTTCCTACTTGTGAAGCGGATTAGATAGTATGCATCTGGTTAATGTGGTGATTAAGGTTTCTTGACGACTTTTTGGTATAATGGACGGGACTAATTGGGTGGTTCCGGAGATTCTGACTTTTCTTACTTCTACTCGAAACATCTTACTAAAGTCGACACCTTTGCAGCATAACCATAACCCGACAGAAGCGAAGTAGCGATGTTTGTAATGAAATTAGCACCTTTGCACCATAATCTCAATACCATAGATGCAAAGTAACCATAATGATCATAAAATTAGCACCTTGGAGGAGCTTGAACACCTAAAGTGTTAGATGAACGACAATGTCAGCGTTGCAATGGAACCTTGGCACCGCAAAAGCAAGATATCCTTAGTATTAATAAAAGCTCACGCCTTTGAACATGAACATTGCAAAGTAACTCGAGGATTATATAAAGTCCACACCTTTTGCTCCACAATTTTGATACCATAGATGCAAAGTAACCATAGGGATCATAAAGTTAGCACCTTAGAGGAGCTTGAACACCTCAAAGTGTTAGATGAACGACAGTGTCAGCGTTTGCAATGGAACCACGACACCGCAAAAGCAAGATATCCATAATATGAATAAAAGCTCCCGCCTTTGAACGTTAATAGTGCAAAAGTAACTCGAGGATTATATACAGTCCACACCTTTGAACGCAGACAGTGCAAAGTGTTAGGTTAAGTTAGACTGACAGCATTGCAGTGCAACTTTTTTTTTATGTCAGCTTGTATTCATGTAGTTTCCCTTCTGACACACATTTTGACACATGTCAATGCAATTAGATGACACAGTTGCTGCAAAGTGCCTGCACACGAAATATCTCATCTTTGTGGGAATAAAGCAATCAGTGGAGCTATAGTTGTTTCATCTTACAAGCAAGACACAGCCTTACTCACGTGACGGGGCATTCATCTTAAAAGTGATGCATACTAGGGGCCCACTGTTTACTATGAGAGAAAAAAAAAAACTTTCAAATTGAGGTCGAGCCTATCTCCAGTGTTCTTCTGATATGCAATTCATGATTTAAAAGAGTTATCTTGTAGCCGCCACTTGCACATTTATGCCAGCATAGAAAGCTTACTGGAATCTATAAAAAACTTACAGAAATGACGCTTCTGAAGGCTTCTTTAGTGTTGGTGATGCAACCAAGAGGTGGAGCACAATCCTTACAAGGCCATCCCCCTTACTGGTCAGGCCCAGAACGTCATTGGCACGGAACAGAAGGTCGGACCGAAGTGAAAAAGTCTGCAAGTTTCTGTCTTGCAATCTGAAAACTTGAAAGGCTGCTTTGCAACGTCTCTTCAGCACTCACGCATGACCGCTTGCTTCTTACATATCTGTTCCACAACACATCTTCAGTCCTGCACAAATTCCAATTGTCAAAATGCGCACATCGTCAATCAATGAAGGGAATTTTCAACTTTAGGTTTTCTGAATTAATGTCAAATGTACAAGTTTACAACCACATAGGAGAGTCCCTAAGAAACAAAGATGTAGATTTTTGTACGGACGAGGGGCAGGAAGTAGCCAGGAACAGATTGCAGACTTGTTTAGCGCCTCAGCCATTTACTCGAAGGGAGCCCCTTGCCACCCTGCTGAATTCTATGGACATGCAAGAGATGATGTGATTGCCATGCTACTGCCTTTATCAGGTCCTAAATCTTACTAGAGAATCCAGCCTCATGCTTTCTACATAGCAACCATGCTGGGATGGGGATAAGCCATTAAGCTCAGCGCATCACTCATACTCTCTCTCTCTCTCTCTCTCTCTCTCTCTCTCTCTCTCTCTCTCTCTCTCTCTCTCTCTCTCTCTCTCTCTCTCAAGCATCCACACACAAACTCATGTTCCCTATATACAACTTCCCAAAAAGAGCATGACTGTGCCAGATTGTTTCATCGAACTTATACCAACTCATCAGGAGGTTGAACCCCGACAGTCTACCCAAGATGCACTTGACTGATGGATAAGGACTGTGTGTGTGTGTGTGTGTGTGCGTGTGTGTGTGTGTGTTGTCATATTCGCTTTACACTCAAAAGAAGCATGATTGTGCCAGACTGTTTCATTGAACTTTCACCGACTCATGAGGAGGTTGAATGTGTGTGTGTGTGTGTGTGTGTGTGTGTGTGTGTGTGTGTGTGTGTGTGTG